GTCTTTCTTTTCTCCCAGCGGCCTCACTCGGTAGGCTTGGGAATTCACCGCCGTGTAGATCCTAAAGTTGCCCACACTGATGGCATCTCTTGCCTCCGTGCCTGGAAAGTCCAATACTTTTCCAACAGCTTTGGCTTTGGCTTCTGCTTTGGCTTTTGCCTTGGCTTTTGCCTTGGCTTTTGCCTTGGCTTTTGCTTTGGCTTTCGCCTGAGGGTTTTCCGCCCTGGCTGCGGCCTTCTCGTCCTTTCCTTGCTGCAGCTGCTCAGCGATTTTCAAAGTTATGTCATCCACGGCTTCTTCCGCTTCGGGCGGCTCCAGAGCAAGCGGCTCGGCGGCTTCCTCCTTGCTTTCCTCCTCCTCCGCCTGCTGCACAGCTTGCTTGCTGCGCTTCTGGTCGGGGCTTGCAGTCTCGCTGCCGCCCTGGCTGTCTTCACCACCGTTCATGAGCGCCAACGGCCTCTTCCGGGCGCCTTGCAGCATCTTGAGTGCTGCTCCGCTGCAGCCTGCAGAGAAGCCTCCATTGCATCTGCCTTCAAACAACTGCAGAAACAGCTGGGACATAGCCTCCTGCAGGTGCGTGTCCCGGCCTGTGAGTCGCAAAGGGGTCTTGGCCCGATCCACGCTGCTGTGCGTCTTCCGGGCTGGCAGGGCGGAGTCCACAAGGACCAGGTCTGAGTCTGCCAGCGGACTGGCAGACGGGGTTTCGGTCCCGTATGCCTTCAAGTAAAGCTCCCGTGGCAAGTCAGCTGGGCTGGCGGGGTAGAGCAGGAGCTTGGAGTACTCGCCTTGCTTTGCAAAAGCTTTCACCATCGTCTTGAAGTCTTGCAAGCAGCTGTAGGCCTGCTGCGCATTGATGCTGAGGGTGTTGATACCCCCATCACCATTGTAGTTTGCGACAAACAGCACCACAAGAGCATACTTGCTCGTTCTTTCCGAAGGACACGTCAGGCCGATGCTCACGTATCGGCGGGCAAGGAGCCGAAGCTTGTCATCCCAAGACCGCTTCGGGTTACGAAGTTGCTCCCACTCCGTCTCAAGCAGGTAATTCTCCAGATGCCTGCACTTCTGGAGCTTCTTCGTGTTCTTCTCGGCCTTGGCAGCAACTTCCTCAGCAGCCTCGCCGGCAGCGTCGGCCGAAACTTTGCTTTGCAGCGCCTCCACCAGAAGTTCCTTCAGGTTTTGGCGCAAGCCGCTCTGCGTGATCTGCGCCAGCAGTTTGCTGGCTTGCGCAAAGCACATGTCCGGAGCGGACAGCAAATCTCTGATTACACCATCCACCATCTTTCGAAGATTATCCTCATTCTTCCCAATGCCGCTCTTTTCGAGGGCTCCTAGGAATTCCAAGGCTTCTTCCAGCCGCTTCTGAGACATGCTGCAGCAAGGCGGCTTGGGGACAAAGCAGGGCAAGGCCTCTGCACCAAAAACTGCGAGCCGGCGTTGCGGCGTTGCAGCCAATAAATCAGAGCAATATACCCAAATGCATGCACACACGACAGCTATACATCACTTGCACGGAGGAAGCCTGAAGAGTTTTCACGTGCACGGTCACACTGCAGTCGCTGAGTTCAAAAACCAGGTTGTTTTAAAAAAGCGGGCAAGCCTCGCCGTGGCAGGACATTGCCTTGCGAGTCCGCGCCGTGGCCTTGAGGCTGCGGAACCCTCAGGAACTGCTGCTACTGCTGCAGCAGCGCTTAGCCGGCTTCTTCTTCACTGGCCCAGCAGCCACGGCCGATGCAGGCCTCTTCTTCACAGTTGCCGACTGCTCGGCGGCCGACGACTGTCCATCGCTCGCAGCCACCGCCTTGCTGATCTGCGCCTCAAAGCGGCTCGCCGCCGCTGATCCCTGCCAGGGTGCACATATTCTAAACCCTCGTCCAAAAAAGTGACCAAGAGTTCTCTATAATGTGCCAGCTTGCCTCTTGCCAGGGCCTGCACGGGCCGTCGTGCAACAACTCCTGCTTCTCCGACATGGCTCTCAGGAGCGGCCCCAAAACGGCCATCATGAGAGGAACCTCATATAGACTTCCGATCAACATAGAAAAAACCACTGTATACACACATCAAGATCATGTATATATGAGACAAGACACCGGGTAGGCGTTTCCGGACGCCTTCGTCCTCAGAGCGTCGCTCTCACCCTGCAGGGTGTTCGGCGGGAAGCCTTGCAGAGCCATCCGCTCCTCGCACCGCAAGAAGCGCCAGAAGGCACGCTGCTGCGGCCCCATGTGCAGGTCGTCCATGGAGGCGACGAAGAGGCGGGTGTTGGCCGTCGTCAGGGTCGGCGCCACATCAAAGAAAAACTTCCGAGGGTACGTCATGCCCTCCGACCGGTCAAGCGGCCAACACACCACAGAAGCGGTGCTGCCCTCAGCGGCCAGCTTCCGCAGCGCCCGCCAAGCATCGGCCAGATTCTAAGCTCTGATCTTGCATTTGGGGTTGCTGATCTTGCCATTTGGGGTTGAAGATACCAGAGCTGGAGCCTTCGAAAAAAGATGCCCAATGATGCTCCCCGATGCTCTTTGATGCCGTTTGTTGCTATTGAAAAAACGAAAAACTTGTTTGAGAAGAATTATGAAATCGAGAAAACCGGTTTCGAGACGTGGCAAAAACGCAGCTGGTATGTATGTGTTGGTATGTATGTATGTATGTATGTCAATGTATGTATGCAGGTATGTATGTACGTATGCATGTAAGTTTGTATGCATGTAAATATGTATGTATGCATGTATGTACGATCATATGTGTATGTATCTATATGTGTGCTTGTCTGTGTATGTATATATATATATATATATATGTATGTGTATATGTACATGTATATGTAGGTATAGGTATAGTATGTAGGTATCAAAGTATAGGTATAGGGAAAGGCATAGGTATAAGTATAGGTATAGGATTTGGTATAGGTCTAGGTCTAGGTATAAGTTTAGGTAGAGTATGTATCTATATACATATATATATATATGTTTGTATGAGCCGCATCCTGCAACAGCTGCTGAAGTTCTCAAGATCTGTGCCCACACGAAGAGCATGATTATCCTCCAGCAGGCAGGGAGGGCAGGGGTCAAACAGGCGCTGAAACAGTGCTTGGAAGCCTCTGAGACAGTGGCATCTACTAGCAAAGGCCGTTGAGACAGTGGCAATATAAGTTACTACTACTACTACTACTACTACTACTACTACTACTACTACTACTACTACTACTACTACTACTACTACTACTACCACTACATTGTAGTTGTAGTAATTGTCAATTACTACTACAACAACTAGTATTACTACCTGCTACTACAGTAATTAGCACTACCACAGCCGCTGAATCAGTGGCAGTCCTACTATTACTACTAGCACTACCACAGCCGCTGAGTCAGTGGCAGTTATTCCCTACTATTACTACTAGCACTACCACAGCCGCTGAATCAGTGGCAGTTATTTCCTACTATTACTACTAGCACTACCACAGCCGCTGAATCAGTGGCAATCCTGGAACTACTACTACTACTACTGCTACTACTACTACTACTACTACTACTACTACTACTACTACTACCACTACCACTACCACAACCTTTGTGGCGACTCTGTGTGGCCGTCGCCGTCGTCGTCGCAGTGCCCTCACTGCCCCCCCCCCCCGATGCCCTCACTGGCCCCCGAAAGTGCCCTCACTGGCCCCCGAAAGTGCCCTCACTGGCCCCGGAAAGTGCCCTCACTGGCCCCCGAAAGTGCCCTCGAAAGTGCCCTCACTGGCCCCTAAAGTGCCCTCACTGGCCCCCCGAAAGTGCCCTCACTGGCCCCCGAAAGTGCCCTCACTGGCCCCCGAAAGTGCCCTCACTGGCCCCCGAAAGTGCCCTCACTGCCCCCAAAAGTGCCCTCACTGACCCCCGAAAGTGCCCTCACTGGCCCCGAAAGTGCCCTCACTGGCCCCCGAAAGTGCCCTCACTGGCCCCCCGAAAGTGCCCTCACTGGCCCCCGTTCTTCTTGTACTTCTACTGCTTCGACTACGACTACGACTACTACTACTACTACTACTACTACTACTACTACTGCTACTGCTACTTCTACTACTACTACGACGACGACTACTACTAGTACGACTACTACTAGTACTACTACCACTACCACTACTACTGCTAATACTACTACTGCTACTACCACAACCACTATAAGTACTATTACTAGTACTAGTACTGGTATTAGTGCTACCTATTACTAGAGCCGCTGAGCTAGTGGCGATTTTCAACTCCATGGCCGCTGAGGCAGTGGCAAGCCTGGGGGCAGGAATGTCCTGGCAGATGCACGAAGCCTTATCTGACATCTCAGGTACGGTGGGCTCCACACCCGGGTGATGAGAGCCACTGACTCAGCGGCCATGGAGGTCAGGTGTCAGGTGAGGTTGAAAGTTCGGGAGTTTGGGGCTTCACTGCAGGAGCTTCTGACTGGAAAAAGCACAGTTCGCCCTCCCCCTCTCCCCTCCCAAATCTTCGATATAGCATCTTTCGAGGTGTGCGGCTGGCCTCTCGGGTGACCGGACAGCCAAGGCCTCAGCACCAAGTTCAGTAACAAAACTCAGTTCTGGTTTTGGGAAGGATATTTGCGCCACTTGATCTCCCAGTTGTAGCCTTTTTCTTGCACAGCCCGAACTCAGAGCAGAAGCAAGCCGGGGTAGTCTTTCAACCAATACTCTTATTTGGGTCAGGGTAGCTTCAGGTTGGTGCTGAGTGCAAGGGATGATAGCACCCATTGGCCGGTGGACATTATATCCTACATACCGGAAGACAACCTCGACTCGGCCTTTAGTGCAAGCTGCTGTGAAACCCTCACTTGGACGCTGAAGCTTTGTCTTCCTGAAGGGGCAGGGGTTCCATGCCATGTGGCTACAGAAAAGGCAGTTGATTGGAATATGAAGGAATTCGGTCCTTGGACTTCTTGGGCACGGGTTCGAGGGTCGCTGCAATCTGTTCCTGATAAAGCAAAGACATCAACAAAACCGAAATAGCTCATCATGTGTTCATGCCCAGGTCCTGAGTAGGCTTCGTGAACTTCTCGAGGTGATGCTTCTTGAAATACCCCACAACGAAATCATTCACCTCTGTGACCTGCTCCATCAGCACTGCGACCTGCTTCCTCTTGCGATGGTTTTCGTTGTTGAGGTCCACCATCTTGCCCTTGAGCTGGTTGTTCTGCTCCTCGTAATCGGCAGCCTTCTCCCTGAGCCCCTTCAAGTCTGACTCTGCCTTGCCCAGGGATGTCTTCAGCTGCTTGTTCTCCTCGTGCTGCTTGTTCAGCTCGTTGTGCTCGGCAATCTTCTTCTTGAGCTCCTGAATTTCTGCGTCTGCCGTAGCCAGGGAAGCCTTTAGCTGCCTACTCTCTTCATAGGCCTCGGTCACTTGGTTCTCGAGCTCCTCGATCTCCCCTGGTGCTCTGTCTCACGATCCAGCAGCATGTCAAGCTGACACTGACTTTTTGCATAGTCGAAGGCGTAGTCCCGGAAAGCCTTGTCGATCGTGTCGAGGTCCTTCTGCTTCTGCCTCAGAACAGCATCATGCCTCTGCTGCAGCTCTGTCATCTGCTGTTGATGCTCCTGCTTCAGGGCATCCATGTCCTTATCATGCCTCTGCTGCAGCTCTGTCATCTGCTGTTGGTGCTGCTGCTTCAGGGCATCCATGTCCTTGCCGTGCAAGAAGTTGAGCTGGCGCTTCTTGTGGGACCAATCATTCTTGGTCCCGGTCTTGGGCTTCCAGTCCCCCTGCGACCAGTCCTGGCCGCTAACTTGCTGACTGCTGTCCGCCGTTTCCTCCTGGTCCTCCCCCTGCGACCAGTCCTGGCCGCTAACTTGCTGACTGCTGTCCGCCGTTTCCTCCTGGTCCTCCCACGAAGACCAGTCTTGCTCTGACCAATCTTGTTCTGACCAGTCTTTCCATGAGGCCATTGTGCTTGCAGCCGGTATTGGGCTCTCGCAAAGTGCAGGAAGCCTATCACCGAAACTCCAAACGGTTTGTTTTTAAAGGCCACTGCTCACACTCTTGAATTAAAACGATGGGTCATGCTTTGTAGTTTCATGCTATGCCATCTGAGTGCAGAAGACATGGGGTAGTAGGCACATGTCTTATGAAGCTTTGCCTCTTTATGAGCAAGAAGCAGCACGTGCATGAACCAATAGATCATGTGCTGAACCTGACGTATGTCCACGCAGCACAGTCTGCACATTCTCCCTTTCAGCTCAGGCTGTGGCTGCTGCATTGCCGTCTGGGACCTCCCGCCTGGGCCAAAGCGAGTGGCACCGTGAGTTACCCTTTGTGTCCGGCACTGTCTCAGCGCCTTTGAAGTTTCATTGGGCTTGGTATGAAGTAAACAGGATTGAAATGGGGATCTACCTGTGATTTTGTTTGAAGAAGAGCACTTCCGAAGCACGAGAGAGGGGTTTGGCTTCTGGGAAGTCAGTAGTTCGGTACCCAAGCACACCTCATTGCCTAGCACTCCAAATCCACGAAGACGAGAAACCGTGTCTTTTAGGTGCCCTTACGGGTGAGGGTGTGGGGGGGTGGTTTGAGGGTTGTACAAGAATTTCTTTTCACTTCGGGAGGGTGGTGGTAGAAAGTGGGGACGGGACGGGAGGGGGGTCTTAGGTTCAAGGGCTATGTTGTAATATAAGCTAAGAACCTAAGATGGGCACTCAAGGGCTATGTTGTAATATAAGCTAAGAACCTAAGGTGGGCACTATTTTGTTTTGGGGGGGCACTTCTGTTTTCGGAGGGGCCACTTCTGAAACCGGCCAAGAAACAGAAGTGGCTTTCAGAACTGGCGGCCAAGAAACAGAAGTGGCTTTCAGAACTGGGTTTAGGCCAGAGCATCTACACCTTTGAGTGCATTGGGCTTTCAAAAGAGTTTGCTTAGCCTCTAGACCTATTTGGGATCATGGCAAAAGGAGCTCAGAGCAAGGTTGCAAAGAAGGGAACGATGAAAGCAACACCGAAGAAGGCTCCCCTTCGCAAGCCTGCTGCCAAAACAGCTTCTAAACGAAGCCCTCCGAAGAATCCTCGGGGGGGACGAGAGGCTTTGACAGCAGACCAGCTGGTGGCATTCTACAAGGCCTTGCTAGCTAAAGGCCCAGCTTGGACAGCTGTGCTCTTCATCATGCAGTTGATGATGGGGGATCGGGCTGACTGCGCCCGCCAGTGCTCCACAAGTTGGTTGTGTTTGGTGTCGCCGAAGCCATACATCGATATCCCAAAGGATGTGAATGGAAAAACAACAGCTCGCAAAGTCCCCCTTCACTCTGATTATGCCAAGTGGCTGTTCTCTTTGATGGGGTCACCTCTGCAGGGAGCCAAGGGGTGTTGGCCGTTCACTGGTCAGAGACTTATCAGCGAAGGTGACACCTTCAGATCTGATGTCTTGCTATTCCCAGGCCGGGTTCGTGGGGGGCACGATTGCAGATTCTGGGGAAGGGCTATCTCGGAAAAGGCTTACTACAACAACATTGTCGAGGTCAGCAAAATCCTCAAGAAGGAACGGGATAATGATCATGCCAACGGCACCTGCAATGTCTTCGACGATGTGGACATGACCCGCATTGGTACCCACAGCCTGAAAAAGTCGGCGGTTACTTTGATGAGGGATGCCAACATTCAGGCCAAGGTTGTTGGTGCTGTAACAGGCACAACTCCAAAGCTGGTGGAGACCATCTACTACCAGGCTACAATGGCTAAACGGAGGGAGGCTGTTGAAGTAACCTTCGCACCTGTGCTTCAAGGCCTTGGGGCCTCAAAGCCACCGGGCTTTGAAGAAGCTATGTGCCCAAAGTGTAATGTGGCGAAGCAGGATGCTGCATGGAACTATTGCCCAACATGTGGCTCTGAGTTTCTCACAAAACTGTGACAACTTGTCCAGTGCAGTCCCAGACCGCAGAGAAAGCGCCGTTTTTAAAAAAAACCTTAACCTCAAACCTTCACCCCTTATCAGGTGTGCAATAAAACATAGATTCGAGCTTAAACCGTAGCCTCAAACATCTGAGGCTTGGACCCGCAATGGCATCGCTTTGCCGTGCCACACGTGGTGGCCAGGCCTGGGTCTAGGGTTGAGGGGGAAGGGATTCAGAATTGATTTGAAGGTGGTGTGTTCTGCTCTATACCTGACGAAGTCTTTCACGGTAGAGTTCTTCTGGTCTCGAGCAGCAGTCAGGCTCCATAGAGCTAAAGGGCTTGCTTCAGGCCGGTGATAATGCCATGCCTCGTGCAAAACAGCACAGCTACACAGGCTTAAAAGTTGGATGATGTCGTGCCCCGAGAAAAGCAGCACAGCTTCGCATCTGCCTTGAATGAATCTGTAGCCTGAAGATATGAAAGCCTTGAAGTGTCTTGAACTATGCATCTGCCTGGAAGCCACGTAAGCCCTGAACTTAGCTGGCAGCTGGAAGCAGCACACATGCGGTCTTGGGCAATGTCACATCTTTGATGGTTGCCACAACTGGCCGCACAGGGCTCAATCCTGTCACTGTCCACGAAACTGTCCATAGCACTTGGGTCAGGTCTGAGTTCCACTTGCTGAAGTCTGCAGAGCCCAAACTGCCCGAGTTCTGGGGAATCTTGTTCTTGTCCGGCACATTCAGATCCTCCGGCTTGAAGCTGATGTTGTGCTCCTCAAGCGCTGTCTGGGATGTTATGAACTTGACAAGTGATTTGAAGCCTGTGTGATTCTAACAATTGGGTTTAGGGTTAAAACTACTGGGAGCTCCTTCGTGAAGTTCCACGTCTGGCCACCGACTTGCTCGGTCTTGTGGTATGCAAGCTTGACATCTGCACTCCCTGCAGCCAGCCTCTGCGCCAGGACTGCCTGAACTTCCATGAGTTTGCCATCAAAGACAACAAGGTCGCTGGGGCCCTTCATGTGGAAAAGCAAGAGGTTCCTGTCATCCAGCGTTGCATCAGCAGCCAGCTGGCTGAACTTCCCTTTGCCGAAGCCACTCAAGACAGTCCCGAATGGCACTGAAACCTCGAGTTGCTGAAGGGTTTAGGGTTGCGGTTTATAGGGGCGTTGATTTCAAGTCAGTTTCAGCTGAGTGTCATCGTCGGTGCTGGGGTTCACAAGGTAGATGCTGCCATTATCTCGGATACTCATCGACAAAGGCTCCACGTCCTTTGGCACCCGGATGTTGAGCAGTGGGACCTCAGAACATGGATTGCAAATTCTTGGCATACCTGAAAAGATGTAGGGTTTGCTGGCTAGACACCTGGGCCACCTGAATACCAATCATCTTGTCTTGGGCGATGCACTGCTCAGGTGACACGGTGAACTTCAGACGCTTCGCTGCTGGGGCAGGTCCCACACCCAGGCGCTTGGATCCAGCACTTGGTGTCGATGATGCCTGAGCCTGGTTGGCAGTCTTCAAGTCCTCCAGTGTTCCGTATCGTTTGGCCAATTCATCCACCAGGCCGCGGAACTCGCTGCCGTGGATTGGGTCGTGGAACCACTTCTGGATCAATGCTTCTGGCAGGTGCACCATCTGAGCATTTCCCTCGGTGTCCTGCCACAGTGTTGGAGCTCGGGTTGAGGGTAGGGAGTTCAGGGTTCATGGCAATATCACATGTGCCTTTCCATACACCAGCTGCTTCAAGCTTGGCAGCTCCGGAGGTGCCAACACCTGCTCCCTCGGCAGCTCCTCAGGAGACCTGACAAACTTTGTCCGAGAAGTGACATGTCTTTCTGTGAAATGCAATGAAGATGGGTGCAACCAAGCTTCTTGGGGTGCCCAGACACTTTGAGCTCTGAATTCCGATATTGCTGGATCAGCAAGTCTTGGTGTGTCATGATGAACCACTCTTGGTCAGCATCGTTGGGGAAGACAGCCGTGTAGTGCATGGCAAGGTTGCACTGCTGCGTCTTGTCAACAAAAGCCTGAGCTGCGATATAATTGGCAAATGGGGTTAGGGTTGGGGTTTCACTGTTCAGTTCAATTGACATGCCTATGCAAATGAGGAGCTTCCAGGAAGTTGCCCACGAGGGGCACCATGTCCACGATCTCGAGCAGATGCGAGGAAGGCACCGTTGGGCCATCCTGGGTTTTGAGAGTTTTGTGAAAGCTTTGGCTGATTATAGGCCATGGCAGCAATGATGTCAAGTCAATACACAGTGTGCAAGCAAGTTTCCAACAACCCTTCCAGGACCCTGCTTGCTGCCTGCCTGCCGATCTGGGCGTACTTGAGGGCGCCGCGGAGAGGCTCGTCGGCATTTGTAGTCGGAACTGCGGAGGGGTCCAGGATTTTCATCATGTCGGTTGCTTTGATCTGGGCGGCCTCCGTTGTCCGCCCTTTCACCAAAAGGGCACTCTTTGCCCAGAACTTGGCGATGTGCCCCTTGTCGTCCGTCGGGCAAAGGAAGCGCCCAGCGAGGTTCAGGGGTCGCTCGTCTCGGGCATCCTTAGGTCACATGCTTTTGCTCAGATCTTGCCATCTATCATAGTCACAATCACTAAAACCGATGCAGTGAAGACTCAGTTCTGTCTGCAAAGATCACAGAGAAGGAGTGGTCGAGGTTGCATCCGATCTTCCCCAGCTCCTTCATTATCAGTTCCTCCTCTGCGTAGCGCCCATTCTTTTTGTGACTGAACACCGGAAGGAGAACCAGGCCTAGGTTCCTCGCATCTTCTGCCAGCACATGCTGCACAACCTGCATCTGCGCCGACAAGTGTGCCGCCGACACGAGGCATGGCGAGATCAGGTTCTGCACGCTGACGGTCACCTTGATGCTGCAAAGGCGGGATTGGAGTTTCAGCAAACACTGCAACCAACATGATGAGTAAATGCAGTCTCAATGCGCAGCCATCTGCAAGAGCAGCCTTCAGCAAGTCCTGCTTGCTCTGCTTGTACTGCCACAGGAGCTGCATACCGGCAGCAGCTTCGTCCTCCGCCCAAATGTAGGTTGTGACCTTAGATCTGTATGTAGCAATAGCAATCTAGAAGAATCTGGCATGTAACATCAGATTGGACGTATCCTGCAAACTTGGCTTTAAACAGGTCCAAGCACGTGCTTGTCCCACCATTTCTCCACTGCTGCCCGGGCTTCATCTGATAATTTCTTCTGATACTGAACAGCAATGCCCTGGACATTCACAGTATGGTTCGCACGGTTCTGCAAGTAGATCTCGAAGACCTGCTGATCGTGCTTGGTCTCAGAGAGCAAGCACTCAAACTGCTTCTTTGCAAGATCTCTTGCCGCAAGATCCAATGACTCGGCAGTGGCCGTGGAATCAGCAGCAAGCCCAGCACTCTTGTTGGAACACTGGTCGATGAGCTTGGAGAGACCTGAGGAAACCAACAGCACGGGAAAAAATGGATCACAGATGAGTCCTTCAAAAAAGTTCATGTAAGTTTCAGGCTCGGGATGTCCCTGGGCCCAAAGGTCTCAGTCTTGTTTCTCAAGGCTGTGCAGAGCTCCATCTCAATCACACCATCGCCCTTTCGGACACGGCTCATCCACCTGAATCTGAAGCGAATAGTTAAATAGTCAAAGCAAAAGCGCCCAACCTTACCCGTTGCAGCCACAGCCACTTCTCGGCCAGCAGGCCCTCGATGCCGGCGACAGACTGAACAAGGTCATCACGAAGGCCGACGGCCAACGTGCCTGGATTGCAATCCAAAAAATTATGAACTCCTTCACTTATTATTTGTTACTGTTCTACTTGCCGCTAGGGTGCACATCTCCAATCTCTCCTCCAAATCGCTCTTGCTGAGTCGTTTTCTCAAGGGGCTTGCTTCGAAGCTGGAGACTGCTGACTCCAGACAGAGCGCCGTGGACTCAGCCGTTACGGTTGACATCTTGGGCCATTTCGAGTTTTTGAGCTTCGGAGGGCACCGGAAGAGAAACCCAGGGACCAGTTTTTTGGACGACAAATTGTCGTCCGAGAACGGACACGACTTGAAGCCGAGCCTCGAAGCCGTATCCATCACCACTCCTCTTGCCTTGTCGGGCAAGTCGAGTAAGTTCTTGACCGACATATATTTCCCACCGGTAACCTGATCGGCCTTGACAGACCGACTGTTCCACGCTGTCAGAACGTTCTGACAGTCGTATCTTCCAGTCTTCTGCAGGTTGAGCAAGGCATGAACCCATGTCACTGCCGTCGGTGCTTCTCGAAGCGATCCCCTCGAGGAGATCTTGAACCCGTAGAACCTGCCCAAAAGAAGCAGTCAAAGTTTTCATGCATGTTTTATTCTAGGAACGGCTTGCTTGTCTGCCAATACAAATCCTCTGAGTCCTGTGCAGCTGCTCCTGAGCATCACTGCACTCGATGCTCTTGCACTGGATGCGCTGCAAGGACTTCCAAAGAAGTGGCGCCGCCTGCTGCAGGCAAGAAGTGTCCCTGAATTAGGGGTCCTAGGGCTTCGTGCTTCCTTTATGCTTTCATGAAGCTCTGCCTCGCGAAGTTCCATTCCGTCACGCTTCATGACTGCAAGAATTGCCAGTGCAGTAACCATTCGGCTTTGTCCTTTCACGTAAGTGACGGAGAACTTCGGGAGGATGCCGGTTGCAGCTGGAATGCAATCCTCGTGACTTTATGCAGACTGTCATAGCTACTACTTCGTGCAACTTGCATAATGCTGAAAAGTATCCTTGTCAGGTGGCAGGACGAAGAGGGGCTCTGAATGACTTACAAATCCATCCTTGAGGATGTGTTCTGCCATCAGCTTGCTCTTGTGCAGCATCACTGGGCCGGCAGTTGAGCAATTGTCGTAGGCAAACAGAGAAGCCGGGAGGAACATAGGCTGTGCTTCGTCCTCCCGGGAAATACTGACCTGCTTCCAGTCAGCAGCACATTTCGTATATGCCACTGCTGCATCCTCTCCAATCTGCTCGTCGAGCCAAGCACCAAACTCAGCCCTGGCAGTGTCACTTGCGAAGAACTCCCGCAGAAGCTTTCCCGGATTTCCGCAACCTCTGTAGCTGTGACTGTCACCAACATGTTCGTAATGCTTCCTTGCAATTGCTGCCAGGCGGCACTCCAATGCCTCCAGCACTGTGGTCACCAGCGGCGCCACGGGAGCCGTGACCACGGAGGCAGCATCTGCTCCGTCGGCAGGGTCCTGGCAAATGGAATTAACTTCAGAGCTAGCTTGAATATTGGTAGATGCATATCTCTTGAACTCAGACCCCTCCTGAGGGTTCTGAATCATGGCAGTCCGCTTGACAGCAGGCAATGGACCCCCAAAAAAAGGCTTGAAAGCACTCGAGCCAGGATGATTTGATGCTCAGTTCACTCCCCCCCCACCCGGAACATCGATCATGGAGGGAACCGTCGGGATCGTCAGAAAATTCTGTGGGAGCCGTCGGGAACGCCGGGTTTCAATTGAAACCGGAGGATCTCTGCCGTCTGGGGCCCGGGCGGGCAGATCATCTGATACCTGCCAAAGCAAGAATCCGCGGATCTCGGTGCACCAGAGAGTGCGGAGAGAACCGCGGGTTTCAATTGAAAGCAGTGGATCTGCCTGCCCCTAGGACATTATCTGCTTAACTCAATGTTGAGATTCGAGCGGGGAGTTACCAGATAATTAGCTATGCACAGGAAGAACCACGGGTTTCAATTGAAACCCGCGGATCTCCATGTTAGAATCTCAACGTTGAGATCCGCAGATTTGCACATGAGATGCTATGCGCCGCGATGCGCCGAGTAGTAAGATAGCTTCAAGTCAAAGCTACTTTTATGTTAGAGTTGGGGGACCTAAACCATTATGTCAGTATCTGGTCTGAAAATAGAAAGATAGCTCAAGTGTGCAGCCAAAGACACAAACCAGTTATTCAGCATCATATGATATTGAAACAATACGCTATATACTTGATTCCATGTTGCAACAACATCTCATTTGTGATGCCACTCCTTAAAGTCATGTTGTGCTTCCGGGACAGCAGCAGTCTGTGTCATGTCAGAACGAATTTTTTTCCACAGCAGGCATATTGACATCGTTCGATCAAAAACCGCAGCTGCTGCACATTGACATGGCTTTAGCTCACAGGCTGCCAAATACCAGAAACAAGTGTACTATGTTGTCTTTGGGGCCGAGCTAACCACAGCCAACGTGTGTCAACTGCCTAGTTCGGCACAACGGAAGTTGTGCTAAGTGCTAGCTACGGGCTAGGGCTTCGGATACTCTTCTGCCCACTGGTTGATGACTGCAAGGGCGAGTGCCCGGCACATGTCGGGAGGATACGTCTGGGATTCCTTGGACACCTGCTGCCCATGAACGTGCCCCTGAACACGCTGGTGTATGTGATCACCACAGCACATCTTGTTGTCAAAGGCATCACGCAAAACAGGGCTGTTTGTCATCAGCGTCGTGGGCTTCTTCATCAAACGGCCACTTGCACTCTTTAGGCCGAAGCGGCACTGGTCAAACTTGATCTTGAAGCCCTGCAGTTTTGCGACCTGACAGAATACAACAGGAACAAATAAGTCAATAAGTCAACTGCTGGACGCATGTCTGTGCAGGCCTCTTGCCGGGTATCTCTTGCAAAAGTCTGGGGCTCAGACCGTGGCACGCTTCCAGGACTGAGCCGTTGTTGGATGCTCGAACACATAGTAGCCACCAGACTTCTCTTGAAAGTCTGCAATCAGCATGCAGAAGTCTAGCTGCCTCACTGCAAAATGTACGTGTCCATATTTCTCAGCTCCCATCTTTCCCCAGTTCGTGAACATGAGGTTCGAGAAGTATGTGCATGGCGGGCAGAGGAGAACAAAATATGGTCGCTCCCTGATCAGGTCTATGAACACCTGGCGTTGCACACTGTTGTCGTTCAAGTCCCAGCCTGTCTTGAGGTCAATACTCTTTGAGGATCGATAACCTCTCTCCCGAATCAGGGGGCCAACACGCTGGGGACAGAAGACCTCCCAATAGTGATCTCGCAGTGACGCATGTGGCTCGTCAGGAATAGTCTCCAGCATATCAATGACATCAGACCACGGGATCTTGGGCCTTGGCTCATTTGAGATTCTCATATGAGCGCTGCACTGGATTTCTGGCCCCCGAAGCTTGAAACATTCCCGATGACAAGTTGCATTCCAGGGTCGAGAAACAAAGCGTTCCTCAGGTCCTCAGACGTCGATGAGATCTTCTCCTGGGCCTGCTTCTTCTGGCTGCTTTTGGCCTTGGCCTTGGGCTTGGCTTTACCTGCAGCCTTGGGTACAGCAGCAGCTGGTTTCTTAGAGGTCCTGTTACCTCCCGAGCCCTTTGGCCTGCCCCTCTTCTTGCCCTGGCCCGGCTGGGGTGGGCTCTCATCAACAAGTTGAAGAGGCATTGCTAGCTCGGGTAACTCACCATCACATTCTTCAGGCAAAACTACAGCCATTGGGATTGGGGTCCTTCTCTCCCAGAGCCAGTGATGCTACATCGGATTGGTACGTCTGCAGCTTTGATGCTTGAAATGGCCCTATGCTGATTCTAGCCCATCAACTCACTCCTTCACAAGGTGCACAATCGATAGGATATTATGCAGCCCAGCACGTGATTCAGACCATTTTCCAAGCCGCACACACCGGAAAGTAGTGGACCCCAGTCTGTCAGCACTCCTAAAAGCTCAAGCAGCCGCCCCTGCAATAACAGCTTGTCTCTGGTGCATTGCATAATTCCCTGGCTGGGAAAGAACTGGAATGCGACAGCATGTACAATGTCAGCTGGCCCCGTTTCAAGATTGAAAGAGTTGTTGAGCTTAGGCAGCTTGGGATGTGGGTTTTCGGAGGGCTTGGGACTAATTCTAACCCTCTATCGGCCACTTGCGGGGCGCAACGGCTGACCAGCTTGAAAAAAGCGGCTGAGCCCTTCTACCTGACAGCATGTCGCCTGGCTTGATACGCAGGATCACGGCATTGCCTGCACCCGCCGCGGGAATATCGGCACTTGCTGCACCCGAAACGGCCACGTGGATCAGCGGCTGCCGGCGGATCTGGGACAGGTGGGGAGGGACCCGGTGCGCCACCGTCCTCGCCGCCCTCGTGATCGGGATTTCCCTGGTCGGGTGCTGGCCTCTTCTGACCCCTTTGGTTGCCAGCAGCCACAGCCTTAGCCTTGGCTTTCGCTTTGTTCTTGGGCACTGCTTTTGGAGCAGCTGCGGCCTTTGCCACGGCCTTTGGGTTGGCTTTTGCACTCGCCGCTTTTGCCTTGGGCCTGGCTGTGGCTGTCACCACTCGGACATCACCGGGAGCATATTCTTTCCACCTCACAGCAGGGGTGTCAACAGCCATACATAAGCGAGCACGCAGAAGTTGCCAAGTTTCTAGATTCCCAGTCAAGTTGCCCAGATGGCATAACGAGCCGCAGATCCAAATGCGAGGCTGTCACCCAAATAAACTTGAGCTGGGGCGGGGCAGGGTGCACTCCTCGTTGGTTGGCATCCTTGGTCATTTCAAGGCTTCAGATGGAGGATTCCTACGTTGGGGGGAATGGGATCCCACACTTATAGATAAGTGTCCACCCAAGCCGTCAAATAATTCTCAGCCTCCGTGAGGTTCCATGGCTCTGAGCCAAACATTTTGGCAGATTTCAAGAACCTCAGTCATGGTGTCAGGATCAAAAAGGTAGCTTGGAAATGCTGACTGCAAGCCTCTAAAGATTCTGTAGAACCTCCAAAATATTTACAAGCAGCTCATCCGCAGTACGCTGTGGAAGCATATTCCGGCCATTTGGTGCCAAGGCCACGTCTTTCAGCCGGTCGAGAAAGGATGACGGCAAAATCAACTGTGGCGGCTGGCTCAGACATGTGCTGCTGACCCATTCCTTCACCAACATGATGGCATCGTTGGGTGCAGCACTGTACTCCTGCCATGTGAGCTGCATTGCTCTTGCACAACAACAACAACAACATCAACAACAGGCTGCAGGCTTTGATGTGTCAAAAAGGCAAACCAAAGGCCTCCTTCTCCAGCTCATCCACAGTCCAGCTGGTTTCAGTTGCACGGTGGAACTTGGGAAGGTCCTTAATGTAAGTCTTCACTCTTGTCTATATACAATTCGTCTATGCCACATGCCACATGTTATTGCAATCCAAATCTCTCCACGACGAACAAAGCGCCACGAGTGGTTGACGTGAAGCTCTTGCCCGTGTGGGTTGGGCACAAGGCCCGCGATTTGCACACCCAAGTGGCCGAAAAACACGGAGAAGTCGTAGGAGCCTGTGACCATTTTGACCACGAGCTCTCTGCCCCGCACAGGCTTCATCGTTGACTGAATCCTGTCAATGAAGTCCTGCTGCAGAGGCAGGGTGTGGGGGAATGGGAGGAGTATTGGTTTGGCTTTTGCTGACTCCTAGCCTTGGGATGCTGAAGTACATCAGCTGATGACAAACCTGCTGCCATGATCGAGAAGCGTTGATCTAACGGCCCGTGGGTATGCCCCACTTGGGCAAAATTGTGACTCACTGATCTGAACCTCAGTTTCGCAATATGAATGTTTTGACTCCAAAACAAGGTTCCATTTCAAGCAGCACCACAGCAAAATGATAATGCAGTTGAAAGGCTTGTTGGTTGCGAGAAGCCAGCTGGAGCCCATTGCCATCACTTGGTTTTTGCCCTCTTTGACAGCATTGTCTGTCTGGCATACAGAGACAAAGAACAATAAGTTTCTGCGACAAGAGTGGAAGGATGACCCATGCATGATCCAGCCTCGATGATCAAATGATGTGGCATTTTGTTGCCCCTACTCGTCAGCACCGTCTCGGCTTCATCAAGCCCCATGGCCATCATGCTGAACTCCGTCCCCGGGTTCTTCACCATGTCGGCTTCGTAGAGGAAGTAGCATTCCACCACCTCAGGTCATGCCAGGAAGAGAGCAGAAGAGCGGAGGGAGACAAATTCAGAACAAACACGTGGGAGACAGCCAAATGCAAGCGAAAGCACGCCCCAGATCAGGACCCCGCCCAAAGATATCTGGGGTCGCCAACAGGCGTCCAAGTTCTTGCTGCTGGATACATTCCTCGGGACCCTGAATTTGCTCTGGTCGCAATAGTCCATGTCGACCTTTAAAATGCCGCCGCCAGAAGGCACGCTGCCGCAGCACGTGCTCTGTTCACTCATACTGTTTAGCCGGCCCTGAATCTGACGGAAATCCATCACCTGTTGCAAATGTATGCGTTGTGCTTCTAGGATGTCAGCTTTCTCCTGGGCATTGAGGTCCTTCCGCATCCGAGCGCTGAATGAGGCGCAGACGTGGCACCTGGAGAAGGTGGGAGATTAGCAGGTGCCCATCCAACCCCCAAATATTCCAGTAGTTTCTTAACTTATTGATTATTATTTATTTCAGATCAGAGCCTTGAGTGCTGCGAAGTCTTTCTGAAGCCCAAGTACTTTGTCCAGTTCGCACATCCCCGTCGGAATGTGCTCTTGGAGGCTTCTACCCGGACATTGGAGGAGCACCAAATCTTGTACTCATCATAGAAAGTGGTCCATGTCTTCCACTGCATGAACCGTCGCTCAGCGGGTCCCAATCCTGAAAAACTCGAGTCTCCTATTTTTGAGCAGGGCAGAGCTCATGTCTGTGATATGTGCAACAGTCATTAATCCCGCCTGCAACGTTCAGGAGGCCTTCAATGACAGGGTTTGTATCCGCCATTGCATGCTCTGGCAGAGCCGTGTCAAAGACAGGGCCCTGGTCCTCGAGGCCCTCCACTCCTGCAAGATCTTTGGATTCCTATCCTGTGCCCTGCAGGCCCACTCAGACTCAAAACCCAAACTACTCATGCCTTCAAGCTCAACCAGAGCCGCCACTTGCAGATTCAGCTCGGGCTCGTCTGTTTCAGCCAATGGCTCTGCCTCTATTGGACGACAAGATGAACTAGAATCAGCTGCTGGATCATTGACTTACAAAATAAATCTTTGCAATCGTGCGGCCAAATACTGATAGACGAAATGGAGGTAGTCATCCACGGAAGATGCAACCTCAGAGATGCTCACCTGAGAGGCTGCCAGGCCCATGAATGCATTCATCCGCCGGAGATCATCTGGCACGTGCCCAGACTTGAGGCCCGTCATGAGCCGCTGAACCTGTGTGGATCTGTGTTGGTCACAGAGTTAAGGGGTCACTGAAAGTTAAACTGACCTGATGCATCCATATCGTACAACTCCATATGCTCCAAGCAGCCCGCTTCACATTTATCCCCAGAAGAGTGCAAAAAGCCTGGCGGCAGATCTCCTCACCAAAGAGCATGTACTGTACGATCTGAGATCCATCATCATCCTTGGTTTACACAACAGGATGGAAGATGGCTAGTGAAGTCCGAGCTGACATGATGATTTGGTACTGCCATTATATAATACCAAGGAACCAACTTCATGCAAGACATAAGTTGGAAGACCTTCTGGTTCATCTCCTCGTTTGACATCTTACCCAAGTCTTGCCGGAGATTTGCCACACGTGATTTCAAAGAATCGTCTGTGTCAAATTTCTCCGTGCACGTCCAACGACAGCACTGTCGATGAGGCCTTGGGTCATGATTTGATACTTGCACAGACGGTAGGATTCGTCAGATGACCTTGCACTCCCTTGTTGCTATCAAGAAACGACAAACTTTCGGAGGACATCGAAGCACAGCTCATTGAGTGCACAGGTCGCACTTTAGCAGCTTTTGGCACTGGGAGTCCCGGGAGGGCATCAGGCAAAACCACCGGCACCTCAAACTCGTGCCCAAGTGCATCATCTTGGGGCAAAGGAACAGCCATGTTCCCACACGAGGCACCAGCCAGTCTTTGGGCCCACACGCTGCTATGTTGTCAATGAATAGACAGTGTCAAGACCAATAACATTCCCAGGCTTTCAGAATCACTGATTGAAAACAGTCTCGGACAGAGAAAGATACTTGACACTGCATACACCCTGTCTGACCCTGTCTTGCCTGCAGGCAATGAATCGGATGAGGAGCGGAAGCGCCTCGTCCCGAGGGCATTAGGCTGTTGAGTTGTTACAGCACAGTGCAGTTTCGGAGATACAACATACACTGCCTTTTCGAAGCCTGGTAACGTTCAGTACTATCCTAACACAATAAAGGCTCTTTCTAGTTTAAGCGTTCTGGAACCCTCAATTTGGGATTTGTCAAGCCTACCTTTTAAAATTTTAGGCCCCTTCCCAAAAACCTCCCCCACCTCTTAGCCAATTTCTGAAAGCTTAGGAAAACCACTTGTAAAACTCCTCTGAAAGCCCAATGAATTCACAGTTTTATCTTGGATGCCACTCCCTAAACCCAGTTCTGAAAGCCACTTCTGTTTCTTGGCCGGTTTCAGAAGTGCCCCCTCCGAAAACAGAAGTGCCCCCCAAAACAAAACACAGATAACCCCCCCCCAATAGTGCCCACCCCCAGTAGCGGCCCCCAAACTAGCTGGCTCCTCCGAAAACAGAATGTGACCCCTCCACTCTCTCCTATCCTAGGCCAAATGTACTTAGGGCCATTAGCTGGCTGGGTTTCAGTGCCTCAGCAATCGAAATACCTAGTTTATCAATGCAGAGTAAGAAGAGGTTGCTCATCAGATTTCAATGAAACCCTTCGAATGAAATCAGAAATCGTTTTGGCAGGGGGCGCTGAGCCAGTGCCAGAGATAGGTTAAACAAATCTAGTGTGACGGCAGAATTATTGCAGGCACGCAGCTCACCAGCAGCACCCGTGCCGGCACAGGGCTCAGCCTCAGTTTCAAGCGGAGCATGCTGGTCCGTTAGTGCACAGTCCCAGCTTCATGTTACTGTGCTCGGCTTTCTGGCTACCCAGCTGCAGTTTGAACTGCATTTACTGAACAGCGGTAGGACAATAGGCAACTCAAGTCTCGAACAAAAAAGCGCTTTGATTAGTGATCAGCCCTGTCCTGAATCATATTTCCAAAGGTCCCTGGTCCGTACTTGAGTGAGCATAAGACATGACTGATTAGTCTTAGAGTTCTTGAACCCTACCAATACTATAGCAGCATTTAGCAGTCGTGTGACTCGCCAGCATGGCAACTGGCAAGGGCATATGGCATCTTCCCGAGCAAGGTGGCCATAGCGGCCATAGCGACGACCAGGTCAAGGGCAAGAGCAGTGGGAAGCAGACAAGCAAAGGCCAAAAAAGGTGGCAGCCGGGTGACCACGGCCAGAGCAGTGGATCTGGGACCACTGGGAAGGACAAAGGCGGGGGAAGCAGCAAGGGCCAGAAAGGTCGAGAAGACAAGGGCCAAGGAGGTGGCACCAAAGACGACTGGAGCCACAAAAAGAGACAGCTCAAATTCCTCATGCGAAAGGACTTTGACAAGGAGAAAGCAGAAGCCCTGGCAGAGCAGAGACAAGCTTTCGACACGGAGATGGCCGAGGCTCTGGCAGAGCAGGGACGAGCTTTCGACAAGAAGATGGCCGAGGCTTTGTCGGAGCAGAGGCTGGCTTTTGACAAGGAGATGGCCGAGGCTTTGTTGTCGCAAAGGGCAGGTTTCGAAAAGGAGCTTGCAGCTGCTCTTCAGGCCAAGGAAGCTGGTCTCAACCAGGAGTTCGATGCCACTATGAAGGCGGTCATCCAGGACACCCAGCAAAAGTTGGAAGCGAGTACAAAGAATGTAGCTGAAGCCACGGGGCAGACTGAGGCGGCATACCAGCTGTACGAGAAGGTGTACATCCAGCACTATAACCTCGAAAAGGAGCTCAAGGCGAAGACCGAAGAATTCGAGGAGGCGTTGCTCAACAAAGATGCTGAATGCCAGCTGGAGCTCACAAGGCAAGCTGCAGCACATGCAAAGGCCATGCAGGAGCTCCACGATACGCATATGGCATCTATGAAGACGCAGGAGGCCGGCTACGAGGAGACACTTCGCAAAAGAGGACGCCAGGTGGACACTCTTATGTCCCAGATTACGGAAGTCAACAACTTCGTGCAGAAGTACCACCAGAAGTACAACCTGGCAAAGTACAGGCGCCGTGAACCTGTGGACAAGGGGTCTGGGGCATCCGAGGCGTCCAATGCCCGCAAGGATCGGAGTGCACGCAACCTTTTCATACCTTGTCGTGAAACTGATCGTTGCATTTTTTTATGTAGTTCCAAATAAAACCTGAATCAAGCAAGCACGCAGGAGAGCACAGAGCCGTCGCAGAGCAGCGAGCTTCCGAAGACTGAGTGAGAGGAGCCCCTGGTCACTGAGATGCTGAGTCTGTGCAGAAGCCCATGGTACCAGCTAAATATCACACAGCCTGCCTTTTACACAATGTGTAAGACATATAATCGACTGGACGATGGGGCTGCAAAGGCTTTTCCTACTCTGTCGGTAGCCCGTAGCAGCAGCACTTGGCACCATTTCTCAATCCCCAAAGGAACCCAAACTCTCCCAACCCCAAGCAAGAATGCTGCTTTCAAGACAACCCCGGTGGTTGCTTCTGCTGTCTGCTCTGAGCTCGGGCTTTGTGAAAAATGCCACAAGGGGGAGATGAAGTGCTGCAACAATCCCTCCTTAAACGTGATTTGGGTCTCAACTGAACCTGGTGCTGAGGTCTTGGCTGCCCGGTCATTCGAGAGGCCAGCTGTGAAGTTCAGACCTCAACACAAAGATTCAATATCTCAGGTGGGGGGGGGGGCGAGAGCAAATGGTATCTGTTCAAGGCAGAAGCTGTTGTAGTGAACCCCAAACTGCCAAACCTATAACCTCACTTGACACTCACCCTGAACACCATGGCCGCTGAGTCAGTGGCTCTCATCAGCCACCCGCATGTGGACCACTGGACCTGAGATTGTGCATCGGCCAGGACACTCCTGCCCCAGGCTTGCCACTGCCTCAGCGGCCTGCCTCTACTCTGACATAACCATAGAAATAGCCACTGACTCAGCGGCCATAGTAGAAGTACTACTTGTTGTCGTCGTCATGATAGCAATACGAGTTGAAGATAAGGTTTATAGCCACTGGCTCAGCGGCCCTAGTAGTACTAGTACTAGTAATAGGAGGACGAATGGTAGATTTGAAAATAACCACTGGCTCAGCGGCCCTAGCAGTAGTAGTCGTCGTCGTAGTAGCAGCAGTAGCAGTGGAAGTAAGTGGTGGTGGTTGTAGTAGTGATAATAGCAATAGTAATCGTAAGAGTGATAAATTGAGAAATAGCCACTGGCTCAGCGGTCCTAGTAGTAGTATTACTAGTAGTAGTAGTCGTCGTAGTAGTAGTAGTAGCAGTAGTAGTAGTAAAGTGGTAGTAGTGGTAGTAGTGGTAGTAGCAGTAGTAGTAGCAGCGGTAAAAGCAGCGGTAGAAGCAGCGATAGTAGTAATAGTAGTAGTAGTAATAATAATAATAGTAGTAATAGTAGTAGTAGTAGTAGTAGTAGTAGTAGTAGTAGTAGTGGTGGTAGTAGTAGTGGTAGTAGTAGCAGTAGTAGTAGTGATAGTAGCAGTAGTCGAAGTAGCTTTTCTATTTTTGCAGAGTTGAGAACAGCCACTGACTCAGCGACCGTACTAGTAGTAGTAGTAGTAGTAGTTGTTGTTGTTGTTGTTGTGGAGCTAGTTTTCATAGTTGTAGAGTTGGAAATAGCAACTGATAGCAGTAGTGGGGGTAGCAGTAACAGGATTGCCGGTGATTCAGCGGCTGTGGTAGTGCTAGTAGTAATAGTAGGATTGCCACTGATTCAGCGGCTGTGGTAGTGCTAATTACTGTAGTAGCAGGTAGTAATACTAGTTGTTGTTGTAGTAATTGTAGTAATTGTAGTAGTATTAGTTTTAGTATTAGTATTAGTATTAGTATTAGTATTAGTACTAGTATTAGTATTAGTATTAGTATTAGTATTAGTATTAGTATTAGTATTAGTATCAGTATTAGTAGTAGTAGTAGTAGTAGTAGTAGTAGTAGTAGTAGTAGTAGTAGTAGTAGTAGTAGTAGTAGCTAATATTGCCACTGTCTCAACGGCCTTTGCTAGTAGATGCCACTGTCTCAGAGGCTTCCCAGCACTGTTTCAGCGCCTGTTTGACCCCTGCCCTCCCTGCCTGCTGGAAGATAATCATGCTCTTCGTGCGGGCACAGATCTTGAGAACTTCAGCAGCTGTTGCTGGATGCGGCTCATACAAATATATATATATATATATATATATAGATACATACTATACCTAAACTTATACCTAGACCTATACCACATCCTATACCTATACTTATACCTGTGCCTTTCCCTATACCTATACTTTGATACCTAGATACTATACCTATACCTACATATACATGTACATAAACACATACATATGTATATACATACACAGACAAGCACACATATAGATACATACACATATGATTGTACATACATGCATACATACATATTTACATGCATACATATATACATGCATACGTACATACATACCTGCATACATACATTGACATATACATACATACATACATACCAACATATACATACCAGCTGCGTTTTTGCCACGTCTCGGAACCGGTTTTCTCGATTTCATAATTCTTCTCAAACAAGTTTTCGTTTTTTCAATAGCAGCAAACGGCATCAAAGAGCATCGGGGAGCATCATTGGGCATCTTTTTTCGAAGGCTCCAGCTCTGGTATCTTCAACCCCAAATGGCAAGATCAGCAACCCCAAATGCAAGATCAGAGCTTTTCTTCTTCAAGCTGGCCGTCAGCTTGGAGACGTCCACGGGGGGCAGCCCGGGTGCCAAGAACTCCCGAAGAGTTCTCCGGCCGAAAGGCCCCAGCGGCTGTGGCACGCCGCCGTAGCCTGAGCGGATGCCGACGAGAAAGACTCTCGTCCTCTGCTGTGGCAAGCCATAGTCCACCGCGCTGAGGCAGTGAAAGCCCCAACTGAACTGGGCAACCTCCGCACGCAGGACCCGCAGGAGCACCTGCAGGGAATCTATACAGAAAACCCCATGGAACTCGCACCTGTGGGACAAGCCCTGCATGATGCATGTCCACGCTGCAGGGAACAATGCCTCCGCATGTGCATGCATGGGCATGGCCTCATGCATGATGAAACCGCATCCTTCCGCGCCTGCATGAAAGGCTCATGCTGCCCAGGCAGCTTCTGCGAGATGCCCACGACATTCTCGATCACCATGGCGGAGAGCTCGCCCACCATGATCAACATCACCGCGAGCTTGATCACGGCAATGAGGACCCAGCTCCTTGCGTCCAGCGTGGACTGTCGCTTGCCTTGCAGACTCCACGGCGGGCAGGGTGGCCCGCTCACCAGCACGTCCACGGGCCGCTGGACCTTGTCCATGGAGCGGGCAAGGGCAGTGATGTCTCCTGCCTTGCCCGCATGGACAAGCGTATCTGCAGGGAGGTGGTCCTGCAGATAGCGCTCGTACCTGCCCTCGACATCATGCACCATGGAGAAGCGTGCATCCGTGATGCCGAGGACTTGCAAAGCGTGGCCGCAGCCATCGATGCCCGTGCAGGGCACCGCCACGTTCAGCGGCCGAGTGAAGACCGGCGCTTGCCAGCCCTCTGGCGGCTGCACCGAGGGCAGCTCACATGTGAGCTCCCTTTTGGGCAGCTGCTCGCCTTCGGGCAGCTCCACTCCAGCATCTGCTGCCGGTTTCTTTGCCGGAGCCTTGGCAGCTGGCTTCTTTGCCGGCCTGGCCGACATGCCTGCAGGGGACAAGCCTCCTGCTGCTGTGCTCTTGAACCAACGCCGCGGATTTACAGCCTGTGTCATGCTCATGGCAAACTGAATTTATGCATGGGGCTGGGACAGATTGCAAGGGCATATATAGGTCCCGTTGCAGAACACTTCTTTTAAACCCTCTTCTCCCCGGGGGTTCTCTGTGCACGGCGCTGTTGGCCAGTTTAGCCCGTGCAGGGCAAGCCTCTGCAAGGCTCAGTCCTTGTAGTCGCAGCGGCAGTCGGCGGAGATACACTCCAGGGCCTTTCGATCTTTTTCTCCCAGCATCGGGGAGATGTAGCATCTGTAGCAGGACAAGCAGGCACAGTGCCCCGATCCTTGCTCCAACCACCACATCTCGTTCGCCAAAAAAAAGGCGAAGCTCTGGCTCAGGGGCACCTTGCCGTCGGGCCTGCAAGCCTCATCCTGCAGGCGGACCAAGGCGTGTAGGTCTTCTGGCCGAAGCTTTAGGTCCTCCACGGCCTTGAGGGCTGCCTTCACGTGCCTTTCCGGCACGTCCTGCAGCACGTCCTGCACCTCCTGCGCAGCCATGGCGAAGGAGGCAAGCCTTCCTCTCGCAGAAAGTTTTCTCACTTGAGCCTTCTGCAGCTCAGGAGCGCAAGTTTGAAACCTGCTGAAAACTTGCAGAAACAATATCGCCTGCGGCACTCTTATCACTTGCAGCACTCTTATATATTTTTTGGCACCTGCAGGCTGCGTTTTTTGTGGCCCTGGTGCTATTTCCGGACCTTGGTCCTATTCCGCATGTGCAAGGGCCTTGCAGAGGATCTAGAACCTATAGAATTGTTCAGCATGGCTGGGGTATAGAAATCCCAGCAAAAGCCTCGCACATGCACCGGCGGCAGGCGAAGCCTTGCCTATTCAGGCCTAGACCTTTAAAGCCCCTAGGCCTTCAAGGTCTGTCACCAACCACACCTTGTCGGTCAAGAGGTGGACTTCTACCAGCACTTCCTGCAGGATGGCGACGTCCTTGAGCAAGCGGCCGAGCTCCACGGAGGCTTGCAGCGGCATGCCGAGCCGCTTCTCTTCCAGGAAGGCGAGAACTGCCTCCACAGCTCGCCCGGCCTTTTCCTGCACCTTGGCTTGTCCTATATACAAGCCAATGAGCTCCTTCAGGAAGACCAGCAAGGGATTTCCGATTTCTTTGAAAATCGAATGTCCCTGTGAGATTCGCTGATGGTACTTGTCGTGCCAACAGTCGAACCCATCCTCCGTCATCTGCTCCAGTGCATCGGCCGCATGCCAGCGAAGCAAGGCCTGCTGTTGCGGGCCAAGCCTCGCCGCCAGCCACTTGGCCCTCAAAAGAGGGAGCTCAAGTGCTGCATTGAGGACCGACGGGTCCCCTTTGCAGCACTTACATGGCAAGTCGGGAGTGCTGCTTGCCCACAAACTTGGCTCCCACTGCTTCTTGGTCCGCAGGTGCCCGCAGTAGTTGCACAGCATTGCTGCGGCCACACAGAAAAAGCCTGAGAGGCAGCTGAAGGGTCAAGCCTCTACAGCACTATTTAAAAGTGCATGCGACGGCGTAAGGTACACTTCTCGATTTGTGCGTGTCATGCTTGCGCAGGGGCCATCCTTGTTTTAGGGCTGAAGGCTTCTCAGGGGGCCTCACAGGCTGCAGCTGAAGGGTCAAGCCTCTACAGCACTCTATACATGCATGAGCAAAAGTGCATGCGGCGGCGTATATATACTTGGTACACTTCTCGATCTGTGCGTGTCATGCTTGCGCAGGGGCCATCCTTTCTTAATTTTGGGGTTGAAGGCTTCGGGGGGTTATATATGCAAGGTCTACAAAACTAACAGAAGGGTTTGGGTTTTCAGGCTTATATACATGGGTATGTGTAGGACAAAGCGTTCAAGGTTTGGGGCTTTGGGTTTTTATATATAGAAGAGGTTCAGGGTTGAGGGCTTTGGTGGTAACAAAGGTTTATTTTTGTTGTTGTAGTCCTAGTAGTAGTAGTAGTAGTAGTAGTAGTAGTAGTAGTAGTAGTAGTAGTAGTAGTAGTAGTAGTAGTAGTAGTGGTAGTCTGGTAGTAGTAGTAGTAATAGAAGTAGTAGTAGTAATAGTAATAGTAGTAGTAGTAGTAGTAGTAGTAGAAGTATACTTGTAAGTAGTACTATATAGTCATTAATCTAAATACATACAAACATATAACTTTTCGTATTAGATGGAAATATATATAATCCTGGTTATATTAAAGAAAATAGTTGCTATATAGTGGACTGTACTGGTTATATATATATGCAGAAAACCTACATTGCATTGTGTGTTGACTTGTGGAGCAATATATGTATAGTAGTAATATAGTAGTAGTCATAGTAGTAAAGTATAGTATAGTAGTAGTTCTAGTTGTGGTATAGTGAAGTAGTAGTAGTAGTAGTAGTACTAGTAGTAGTAGTAGTAGTATATCAGTAGTGAAGATATATAGTTGTATCAAGAGTATAGTAGTAGTAGTAGTAGTAGTAGTAATAATAATAGTAATTGTGATAGTAGTGGTAGTAGTATATAGCAGCAGTAGTTATAGTATATAGTTCATAGTAGTAGTAGTATATAGTAGTAGTAGTAGTAGTAGTAGTAGTAGTAGTAGTAGTAGTAGTAGTAGTAGTAGTAGTAATAACAATAATACTAGTAGTGGTATAGTAAAGAAGAAGTAGGTGTATAGTAATAATAGTAGTAGTATAGGTGTAGCTGTAGTAGCAGTACTTTTGTAAAAGCGGAAGCAGAGGTAGTAGTAGTAGTAGTAGCAGTAGTGTTATACTATGTGCCGGAGTAGTACTGTACTACCACTATACTCCAAAAAACTACTATACTACTATAATATACTACTATATGGTGCTAGTACATATACCACTACTAATGACACTATATAACTATACTATGCACTCGTTTTCCATTACTACGACTACCAATACTACTGCTAGTATACTACTGCCACTATACTATACTATTCTACTTTTCTACTATACTACTATAATACTATACTACTGTACTACTATACTACTATACTACTACTACTACTACTTCTACTACTACTACTACTATTACTACTATTACTATACTATTATTACTACTTCTAGTACTTCTACTATTACTACTACTACTACTATTACTACTACTACTACTACTACTACTACTACTACTACTACTACTACTACTACTACTATACTACTACTGCTACCACTACTACTATACTACCCCTACTAGTACTACTGCTGCTACTACTAGGACTCTACTATTATCACTACTACTACTACTATCACACTAGTAATAGTAGTAGTAGTAGTACTACTACTACTACTACTACTACTACTACGACTACTATATTACTACTACTATATACTATATACACTTTTGACTACACACTATATACTATATATTCTAAGTATATATTATATAGTATATACTATATACTAAAAACCTATATACTAAATACTATATACTATTTACTATATACGTTCTACTATATACTCTATACTTTACTACATGTACTAAAGTGAACTAGATTAAACTTATACTACTACTACTACTACTACTACTACTACTACTACTACTACTACTACTACTACTACTACTACTACTACTACTACTACTACTACTCTTACTACTACACTACTACTACTACTACTACTACTACTACTACTACTACTACTACTACTACTACTACTAGAACTACTACTAGAACTACTACTAGAACTACTACTACTACTACTACTACTACTACTACTACTACTACTACTACTACTACTACTACTACTACTACTAGACTACTACTACTACTACTACTACTACTACTACTACTACTACTACTACTACTACTACTACTACTACTACTACTACTACTACTACTACTACTACTACTACCACAACGACTACTACTACTACTACTACTACTACTACTACTATACCTATATATACTATACTATACTATACTAACTACAATGCACTGGCCGTGGTAGGTGGGAGGAGGTTAGGCTCCGTGAGAGGTGAGTGTGGCGTTGTGTGTGTGTGTGTGTGTGGGTGCGTGTGTGTGTGTGTGTCACCCCTGACCCTGACCAGACACTGATACGGCGCCCCTGACCCCCCCATCCCCCGCAACCTTACTGACACGGTACTGACACGGCACTGACACGGTACTGACACGGTACTGACACGGTACTGACACGGTACTGACACGGTACTGACACGGTACTGACACGGTACTGACACGGTACTGACACGGTCCTGACACGGTACTGACACGGCACTTTTTTTTTTTTGTTTTTTTTTTGGGGGGGGGTGGGTTACTGACACAGCGTGTTTTTTGCATGGCCAGCCAGAACACCCATGCACCCCAAGCCCACCCCGCCACCCCATCCACGCCACCCCACCCCCCGCCTCCAGCCCACCTCAGGCCCAGCGCCAGGCCAGCCCACACACACACACACACACACCCCCACAAACCCCACCCCCAGCCCACCCCATGCCCAACCCACACCATGCACCCCCAAACCCAACCCCAACCCCACCTCAGCCCAACCTCACCCATGCGGCTACATTAACCACCACGTACTACTACTACTGCTACTACTACTACTAGTACTACCTACTACTAGTTCTACTACTAGTACTACTACTACTAGTACTACTACTACTACTACTACTACTACTACTACTACTACTACTACTACTACTACTACTACTACTACTACTACTACTACTACTACACTACTACACTACTACTATACTACTATACTATAGTACTACTGCTGCTGCTGCTGCTGCTGCTACTACTACTACTACTACTACTACTACTACTACTACTACTACTACTATACTACTACTACTACTACTACTGCTGCTGCTGCTACTACTACTACTACTACTACTGCTACTACTGCTACTACTGCTACTACTACTACTACTACTACTACTACTACTACTACTACTACTACTACTACTACTACTACTACTATACTACTATACT